AAGACAAGCTCATCCACACAGTAGCAATATAAATTGATATGCCTCACACAGCTGGTGTACTTCAAGGAATTTATTTTACAGATGTATTTTCTTCAGTGTTCAAAGCAACATGTGCAAAGATTTTTTTTTGTATTGCTTTAGAATGAAAAGGGATTTAACTGTTTGTCCATCTTTATAGAACTGGCTAAATAAATGATGGTGTAACCATTGCAATAAAATACAACGCAGCTATCTAGAAAAGTAAGATAGATCCTGAGTGCTGATATGGAAAGATGCCTAATACAGAAGGAAATTCTGGATGGACAGCAAATTGTGGTTACCTTTAGGACGTGGGAATATAGACTTGAGAGTTAGAAATCAAGTTTCTTATTTTTTTCCTTAATACTACTTGTGTTGTTTGAATTCTTTTTACAGTGAGCATGTATTATCTTAATAATATAAAATCGAACCAAATTGTTTTAAATGTTGTTAAAGATACATATGATATGAGCCTGAAGAGATAGCCCAGGGAGGAAAGTGCCCAGTTTAGGACCTGAGTTTGATCCACATCAAACACTGAACAAGTCAGTTGTGCTTATGATCCCAGTGCTCGGGAGGCAAAGACTGTCTCCCTGAATCTACAGTCTCCAGGAACAGTGAAGACCCTATCTTAAAGAATAATGTGGAAAGCTGGGCATGGTGGCTTATGCCTTTACTACCAGCACTTGTAAGGCACAGGCAGGTAGATCTCTGTGAGTTCAAAGCCAGCCTAGTCTACATAGAGAATTTCAAGCCAGCTAGAGCTACATAAGGATACCCCATCTCAAGAAACAAGAAACAAAATAATAGTAAGGTGGAAAGTGATTGAGGGAAAATTCAACTTCTGGCTTCCACATCCACACAATATACAACACTTGCACTCTCACCTACACACATATGCAGACATAACAACATAACAGCAGACACACACACACAGCACACACACACACACACAAGAAAAAGAAAAAATGCAGGTAATGATGCCTGAACTTGGGAGGCAGAAAGATTGCAAGTTTGAGGCTATCCTGAATACTGAGATCCAGATACCAATTCAAATAAATGTTCAAAATTCAATTTTGCTACAATAGAATGAGACATTAATATGCATTCCAATTTCCTTTCTCCCTCATACCATTCTTTGAAGAATGAACATTGTAAGTTTACAAAATACATTTATAAAAGGAAGAAAATGATATAACCTATTTTATTAGAAACAATAATCTCATTGTGTTCTTCACTGATGAAATTGGAGCTGTATATTCTGTCTTATGAGAGATGCTGATGAGATAGCAAATAAAGTGGCAAGTACCAAGACAAGGCCATGTGAGCATGGTGTTCAATTGGTTGACGTCATGGAAGGTCTATCACAAAGCATAGATAGTAGCTGTGTGAATACATACTTCATGAAATGATGACAGATCAATAGCAAAGATTATTACAAGGCACGTTTCAGCTCATTATGAGAAAGAATGCAAAAGTGATTAGATCTATATCAACAGAATTGGTTGCCTTGGAATGATTGCCCATCTCCCATTCTAGATTCACTGAGACAGCAACTAGTAAGACTTTGTTGGGATGATGTAGAAGAGATACTTTCATCAGAGAGGAAGCTGAATATAACACCCCTAAATCATTTTTATTAAGAGACTTTATGATAAGTCTGAGCAAACACAACAGTGCCTTCTTATTAGCTTCTCTGTAGCCTATCCTTCCAAGAAATCATCCTCTCCTGTAGTGTCATTGGCCATAGCCAATGTATAACTTACATCTGCTGCTTTCTCCCTGCTTCTGTTTTATGTGTAACTGATGAAGAGTTTTGTTTGGTTTTTGTTTATTTATCTCCTTGGTTTTGTTTTTTATTTTTATTTTTTGAGACACAATAACCTAGGCTGGCCTAGCACTTCCTTAGAGCCTCAGCAGGCCTCAAACTTGTGGTCCTCCTGCTCCATCCTCCTAAGGGCTGGGTTTATAAGCATGTGCCACCATGCCAGCTTCCCTTGCCGTGCCCCTAAAAGTCAAAATTTAATTTCCCTAACCTGTCCCTTTGAAATTTTTCTTACTTCTATACACGACAAGCCAAGAAAGGCTAACGTGGTTGGCCGATTGAGAAACAACAAGCCCTTCTGAAACTTCAGCCAGTTTATTATTTATAGAGCTAACAAAAGAAAGCACAGCAAAGTTGCCATGTCCCTTGTCCTATTGGACCACACAGAAACAAAAGGGACTCGGTGACAATGCCCTGTTGCTAAGGAGCCAATTCCATGCAGCAACTGAGCAGCTTAATAGACTACAATTAGAGCTAACAGTGGGAGAAAATATCATTTAATAAAGAGTTTGGCTGGCCTTTGTTCCTGGCTCCTGGAAGGGAAACAAAATCTCTAGAATTCCCAAGATATAGAAGTGCCTTTATTATTTCTGGTGATTGTGATGGTCTGAATGCGAATTGTCCCCCATGGGCTCATCTATTTGAACACTTACTTCCTTGCTGGTTTGGGAAGTTTGTTGAGCCTTTAGAAAGTCGAGCCTAGCTGGAGGAAGTGGGTCATGGAGGCACTTTATAGACTGACTCTCTGTGCTGCCCTGTCTTTAACCCCTAATCTACCCAGATGTGAACAAGCAGCTGCCTTAAGCTCCCTAGTGTTGTGGAGTATTACTTTAACTATGTGAAGATGTGTTGCATTTATTTATGTTGCGAAATATTACTTTAACTATATAAAGGTGTATTGCATTTGTTTATGCTTCATTTGTTTAATTATGTAAAGATGTGTTATTGTTTCACCTTGCCTGCCTAAGGCACCTGATTGGTCTAATAAAAAGCTGAACAACCAATAATAACTAAGCAGTAGAGGGATAGCCAGGGCCGGTGGGCAGAGAGAATAAGTAGGAGGAGGAATCTAGGATTGAGAGAGAATGAGAGAGAAAGAGAAGGAGATGCCCCGAGAAAGAATGAGGGAGAAGGAGAGGGAGACAGACACCCAGTGCCAGGCAGCCACTGGCCAGCCAGACACAGAAGAAACAGGAAAGTAGGATATACAGAAGGAAAGAAAGGTAAAAAACCCCAAGACAAAACATAGATGAAGAGAAACAGGTTAAATTAAGTTATAAGAGCTGGGCAGTGGTGGCACACACCTTTGATCCCAGCACTCAGGAGGCAGAGCCAAGTGGATCTCTATGAGTCCAAAGCCAGCCTGGTTTACAGAGCAAGATCCAGGACAGGCACCAAATCTACACAGAGAAACCTGTCTCGAAAAAGAAAAAAAAAAAAAACTAGTGGGACAAGCCTAAACTAAGGCTTGAGCATTTATGACTAGTAATGTCTCTTGTCATAATTTGGGGGCTGGTGGCCCAAGAAAGCCTGCTACACCCCATGTCACAGAGAGTTGCCATCTCTTCCCTACCATAAACTGGTATCCCTTCAAACTGTGAGCAACAGTAAAACCTTCTTCCTTTAGGTTGCTTCTTTCTAGATATTTGGTCCTGCCAATAAGAAAAGTAACGAAAATAGAAATGTGATACCACTAATAGGGTCATTGCTATGATAAATTCGACCATGTGGTTCATGTGTCTCCAGGACTGGTTTGCAGGAAGAATGTGAAAGAGTTTGATGCTGCAGCCTTCATGCTATAAGCAGAGCTTAATGGGCAGTTCTGATATGGAAGACCAGAATGCTGATAGGAAGGTGCACAGTAAAGGTTGGGCTCCTCAGATTTCTAACAGGAACAAGGACTTCTAGTGGCTGTGTGCAATGTATGCTGGCGAAGAAGCTGGCTGATTTCTACTGATGTCTTGAAATTTTAGGTGAGGTTGACTTGAAGAGTAATGTACTACACTGTTTGTTAGAGGAAATTTCAGAACAGCACATTCAGGCTGTGGCATGGTTATTGCTCACTGCGTTTACCCAGATTTACAGTGAAACAGCAGAAAGCAGAACAGAAAAATGTGGAAAACATAGTTTGGCAAGGAGATTGAATGTGGTTAAAGTGACAGACAGAATGGACAGACAGGTTCAGACAAAGCAGACGTAATTATTAGAGTAGTGCAACTATTCTGAAGCCTCCCACTTAACACTTGGACAATAGGAAAGATGCCTGAGGACAAGACCCTAACCTTTGAGAACTCCTAGGCATAATAGGGCAAAGCCATTTGGAAATTTTTCACTTGAAAACAGACTCCAGTGTTTTCTGATTTATCTGGGACCCCTAGGGAAGTAATTTCACAGACTCAGCCTTGTGGGCTGTTATGAGTGACCATCCTCTGAGCTATGCAACTGCCCTCTTAGGGCATTCAGCTGTGCCCCTTGCAAAAGCTCATACCAGCTGGACTTGCTGAAGGTTTAAACCACCACATAGAGAGGGACGTGAGAGTTTTACTTGCGTATCCAGCTGCTCCTACCACCTGGCAATGCTGTGTGTGGCCTGGAGGAGGCGCTAGAGTGTACAGAGGCTGGGGAAGACTAGGGTAGGGAAGACCAACTCCATCTGTGCAGCTATGAGGAATCTCTCATCCCTGCTGCATAAACCTTTCAGATGTGGCTGGTTGGGGGAGGACCACTCACACCCCTGTAAGTAGCCTGTCATCTGTGCTGTCTAAGGAGATCCAGAGAGAACTGGTGGAATCATGCCTTGGTTTGTTGTTGTGACCTTAGGAGGAGAAGTAGACATTGTGTATGTCTTCCCCTGGAAAGAAATTTTGACAAGAAGGCCGAGAGAGGCCTCTATAGCTGTGGTCCAGTAGAGCTAGGCTACAGCTAGCAGCATTATTTGGCACTGGCCACGTAAGCTGGTTATGCAATCATGCAAGAGTGAAGGGATCATGGAGGCTTTTACCAAGGTTCCAGAAACCACCGAAGGCCAACAATTACATAGTGGGTTGTGGGGTTGGATTCCCTGTAACAAGCTCCTGAGTGTGAAGCTGCGAAGTTTGAACCCAAGTTGTAACTGAGATCCAGGACACTGGAGATTTCAAGAAATTCAGGTAGTCCAAGAGAGAGGCCGAAGAGGGGTTACCCAAACTTGTTGGAGCATAGACATTTCACTGTGAGCTCCAGATGTCAGACGTGGAGCTGCAGAGTTTGATGTCTGTCCTGATGAGGTTGATCTTGCTTTGGTCTGATCTTCCTTTGCTATGTCCACAGTTCTTTTGATAGGTGAATATTTATTCTGTGATTTTTTTTTTATTGGAAGCGTATAACTTTGATTTTACATGGACTTAGAGCTAAGACTGTAATTTGTGTCTAAGAAGGGCCTTTGGACTTTGGAACAACATCAGAACTGAAAGACTATAATACGCTTGAAGTTAAACAGAATGCATTTTACATTATGAAATGGCCATGAGGCTATGGAGGTCAAGGATGGAATCTTATTAATTGGATGTGAAATGTCCTTTATGTTTAAACACTTGGATCCCAGACAGGGGCACTGTTTTGTGAGGTTATGGAACTTTTAGGCGGTGAGGCCCCAAAGGAGGATGTGAATGACTACGGGGCAGGCCTTAAGGTTTCATATCCAGTCTTCTCTCTGCTTCCCGATCCACAGAGAGGCATGCACAGCTGCTGCCAGCTGCTGCTGACTTGGAGCTGTCTGCCACCGTCCCTTCCCGCTGTGATGAACTGTGTCCTCCCAAACCGTGAGCACCAAGGAATATTCCCTTCTTTTTAAGTTGCTTCCCTATCAGGTGTTTGTTCACAGTGCCAAGAAAAGTAACAGATACAGTCGGTTTGGAGTTCCATGGTCCATCAGTCATCCTATGTAGTGTCCGTAATAAAGACTCCAGACACTGAGACTCTAGTGAACATCCTTGAATAGTCATTGTTCAGTGATATACTGGAAGTGTCAATACCATGAGAATGTAGACAATGATGAGCTGGGAGGGAGAAATACCACAAGAAGACAGGCAGTGATGTTCTGGGGGGGGGGGAGAAATACCACAAGAAGACAGGCAGTGATGTTCTGGGGGGGGGGGAGAAATACCACAAGAAGACAGGCAGTGATGTTCTGGGGGGGGGGGAGAGAAATACCACAAGAAAGACAATGATGAGCTGGGAGGGAGAAATACCACAAGAAGACAGGCAGTGATGTTCTGGGGGGGGGAGAGAAGACAGGCAATGATGTTCTGGGGAGGGGGGAGAAGACAGGCAGTGATGTTTTGGCGGGGAGAAGACAGACAGTGGTGTTCTGGGGGAGGGAGAAGACAAGCAGTGGTGTTCTGGGGGAGGGAGAAGACAAGCAGTGGTGTTCTGGGTGGGGGAGAAGATAGGCAGTGATGTTCTGGGGGGAGAAGACAGGCACTTCATTTGGGGGACCCTCACATACATCGCTGTATATATCTCTTCAATTGCCTGACCCTGATTTATGTCTTTTTTGTTTGATTTTTTCCACCTTCACTATTATTGCATGTGTGTGTGTGTGTGTGTGTGTGTGTGTGTGTGTGTGTGTGTGTGTGTGTGTTGGCACATGTGTGTCTCGGTGCATGCATGGAGGTTATAGAAAAACTTTAAGGAGTTGACTTTGTCCTTCCACCTTTACATGGTGCTCTCTTCCAGATGAGCATCTCACTGGCCTTGATTTGTATCTTTTATAATAAAGCTGTGATCTTGACTATAGATTTTCCTGAATCTATAAATCATTCTAGTGAATTATAAACTGTGTGATAATAATTGGAATCCTTAAATTTGTAGCTAGTTAGTCAGAAATGTGTTTTGTCTAAGAACCCCTGATCTTGGAGCCAGTACTTGAAAGGAGGAAAATCTTGTGGAGGACTATGCCTTTAGTATGTGAAATTTAGCCTAATTCTGGATTGTTTAAATACTTGTTTTGCAGAGTGAAAAGGGAAATCCCTCCACAGAAACTTTTTCAGAATCCAGGAGACAAGAGATAGTCTTATACATTTTCTGAAAACACCAGGAGGCAAATAAGAAATATTGTCAAGCTAATCTCAAAAAAAAAAAAAAAAAGAACTCAAGAAGCTAGACATCAAAATACCAAATAATCCAACTGAAAAATGGGGTACAAAATTTAAACAGAGAATTGTCAACAGATGAATCTCAAATGGCCAAGAAACAGTTAAAGAATTAACATCCTACACCTGTCAGAATGGCTAAGATCAAAAACCCGCGGGGCGGTGGTGGCGCACGCCTTTAATCCCAGCACTCGGGAGGCAGAGGCAGGCGAATCTCTGTGAGTTCGAGGCCAGCCTGGGCTACCAAGTGAGTTCCAGGAAAGGCGCAAAGCTACTCAGAGAAACCCTGTCTCGAAAAACAAAACAAAACAAAACAAACAAAAACCCTAATGACAGTCTAGAGAAGATGTGGAGTAAGGGGAACACTCCCACATTGCTGGTGTGAATACAAACTTGTACAGCCACTTTGAAAATCAGTATAGTGGTTTCTCAGAAAATTGGGAATCAATCTACCTCAAGACTCAGTGATACCACTCTTGGGCATATACCCAAAGGATGCTCAATCATACCACAAGGACACTTGCTCAACTATGTTCATAGCAGCATTATTTGTAACAGCCAAAACCTGGAAACAACATAGATGCCCTTCAACTGAAGAATGGATAAATAAAATGTACATTTACACAATGGAGTATTACTCAGCAGTAAAAAACAATGACATCATGAAATTTGCAAGCAAATGGATGGAACTAGAAAAAAAGCATCCTGAGTGAGGTAACCCTGACCCAGAGAGACAAACATGGTATTTACTCACTCATAAGTGGATATTAAATGTAAAGCAAAGGATAACCAGGCTACAATCCACAGCCCCAGAGAAGCTAGATAACAAGGAGGACCCTAAGAAGAAGGCATGGATTGCCCTGGGAAGGGGAAATATATGAGATCTCAAAGCCCACCCCTAATGACACACTTCCTCCAACAAGGCCACACTCTTTAATCCTTCTAATCTTTTCAAATAGCACCACTCCCCGATGACCAAGCATTCAAATATATGAGCCTGTGGGGGCCATTCTTTTTTTTTTTTTTTTTTTTTTTGGTTTTTCGAGACAGGGTTTCTCTGTGTAGCTTTGCGCCTTTCCTGGAACTCACTTGGTAGCCCAGGCTGGCCTCGAACTCACAGAGATCCGCCTGGCTCTGCCTCCCGAGTGCTGGGATTAAAGGCGTGCACCACCACCGCCCGGCTGTGGGGGCCATTCTTATACAAACCACCATAACCGTTAAAGTAGCCCAGTGAACAAACAAAAGCCATCTTAGTTCACCATTATTCTTTGCCTTGATAAACCAAGCCTCCAATTAAATTAGCCTGTTGAGGTCTGCATTTTCTTACTTGTAAAAGGCGTGATAAATAATAGTCCCTGCCTTATGCCATTGTTGGAGGGAGTTAGTGAGTTAGTACCAGCAAAATCTTTAGAATGGCGCCTGACACATGGAAGCATTCAAAGAATGTCACATATTCTTAAAACTTTTCATATAGACTTTGATCGTTATATAGTGACTATTATTGTAAACAAAAATCACGTTAAATGTACAAACACTAAAACTTCAAAATATAATTCTCGGTATGTTTTTCAACTCTTAGTAAATTAATAAAGTTTTCCATGTTATGATAACCTCTCATAATTACTATGTGGAGGACTGCATTAAGTTTAGTAAAAAACACATTTGAAATTTTAATGAGTATCTTAGATAAATATATATGTATAGTTTATAATTTCTTGACATTTCTATGTCACTCTTTAAAACAAAGCAGAGTTAACATTTTTATTTCATACATTTAAAGGAAGAAAATTAAAATGTTCATCATATTTTATCTTGAGATAATAGAATTTTGGATTTTTCTTTATATCTTTATGTATATTTAATATTTTTTAAGTGATGATGTATTACTTTTCTAATTAGTAAAACTATTATCTTTAAAGGTAAAGGTATTTTTTTCAGATCAGAATCCTTTCTGTACTGGGTAAGAAGAGAACAGAAAGGATTTGAGACTTCTGTGGCATGAGAGTTTGCTTTTGAAACATTCTGAAATTATATTTTTATTGGTTTTAACAAGATTTATAACCTACTCAAAAATGCAATAGAGTGGGCACCACAAGGCAAATTTGTTTGAAATCACCAGCCCCAACACATGAATACTCATGACATTCAGCACCATGTCCCTGTTGAAAATATTGTTTATAGTCTGTGACCGTGGATGTTGTACTAACAAGGTCAAGGTGTGCTTGCTACATGGAGAATAAGATGAAAATATTTCTAAAGTAGAGATGATGATTAATGATGAAGAAGAGGTGTTTTAATGAAACTGCCTTTTGTTATGTTAATAAAATCACAATTAAATATCAGCATGAACTTTAGGAATTGCTACATCAAACAAGGACATTAAGATCATGGAGGTTGGGTGGTGGTAGCCTATACCTTTAATCCCAGCACTTGGGAGGCAGAGACAGGCAGATCTGTGTGGGTTCAAGGTCAGCCTGATCTGCAGAGCAAGTTCCAGGACAGCCAGAGCTGTTACACAGAGAAACTGTCTCAAAAACAAAACAAAACAAAAAAAGAAAAGAAAAAAAACGTGGAGGATGAAGACTGGCAGATACCTTTTTGAATCCATATAGTACAGCCAAGTAGCACTGAGTAAATTATTTAACATCTGTGACCCTCCAGATCCCAGATCCTAAAAAGTGCCTAGTAATGGTACCTGCGAGCCTCACTATAATAACTAACTGATGTGTAAATCCTAGGTGTTTATGCACTTGCTCTTTGTATTTGAAAAATAGCTGTCATTTTCTGGTATGGTTTTGCTTTTTTTTTTTTTTTTTTTTTTTTTTTTTTTACTGATGTGAAAACTGCTTTCTGTGTACACCTGTTAGTTTTACCTCAGTCATCTGCTATAGAACAACTGTCAGGGTAAGGAGGGTAGCCCAGTGGTCTAGAGCTTGTCTAGCATGAGAGATGACCTAGACTCCAGCCCCACTACCTCAAAAACAGGAGAGACTGTTAAAAAGGCAGGAAACTGACTTTTAAAATGCTTCCAAAACGCATTCTTTTCCTTTGAAGCCTCCAGACCTTGTGAGCTTTTTACATAGAGGCATGCCACACCAGCTCTGTGATCTCAAGCACGGGAGGAAAGCAGAGCAGAGGCTCTGTAACATCCCAACAGAAAGTCTTTTATGCTTCCTGCTCAGTAATCTGAATTCCCTGCCCCACTACCTTCTAGTCTCCTACATCTGTGCCGAATTTCATTGATCTTGTATTTATTTATCACAGAGGTGCTGAGGTAAATTCCTGGCCTGTTAAGAATTCTGCTTCCATGCTCACATGCTGTGTCATCCTTCAAGACCTCCGCAGATCTCAACATTAGCTTCAAAGACTGCTCAGGAGTTAAGTGTGTATTAGGGGTAGCCTGTAATCCAGCACTCAGGAGGCTAAGGCTGGTGGATGGTGAGTTTAAAGTTAGTCTGGGCTGTTTATCAAATTTGAGGTTAGTGCAGGCTACACAGCAAGACCCTTTCTCAAAACACAAAGCAAAGCTAAGTTTATTAGGTCACCTAAGATTTTTAGCCAATCCTCACAAAACAGCTACCCTCAAGGAGAAAGTCTATATTCATAGTTCTGCCCACCCAACTCCTACAGGAAGACTTCTTTAGAACGACAAAACATCCTCCAGTATAGATCCAGCAAGAAAGTGGGCCACTTCTATCCTTAGTCCTTTACATACCTAGTTTAAAGTGAACGAACATCGAGGCTTCAACTACACGGAGCCTTCCACTCTGCTATGGTATCCCCATGGCCAAAAGCATCTCTCTGAGGTCTTCTCACCTGAAAAGGGGGTCAGCACTCCTGAGCTACTTATGCAATTCAATGTTTTTCCCCCTTCATTGCTATTGTTGGCATTTTCTATTTGGAAAGAACTCAAGATCATCTGTAAACTTGGTGAATTAAATTCCTCTCTTGTTGCTAAGACAAAATACTCGACAAGAATCATGGTAAGGATGGAAGAAGGATTTATTTTGCTCAGAGCCCAAGGACGTAGTCCATCCTGTCAGGGAGGTCATGGCGTGCAGCTGCTCACATTCCATTCATAATCAGGAAGCAATGAAAATGGATGCCCATGTCCATCTCATTTCATCCTTTTTATTCCATCCAGGATCCCAGTCAGTGGAATGGCAGCACCCACCGATAAGGTGGGTCCTCCCACCTCAGTTCACCTAACTAGATAGTCCTCACAGGGATATCCAGATTTGACAGTCAGTACTAAACACTGTGCCTGGTGTCCTGTCTCCCAGATGACATGCAAAAGTTTTAAATTCACGTGTCCCAGCAGAGAGGGGCCTCTGAACCCTATTTCCTATACTTCTTCAAACTAAGCTGCTTAATTTGTATACTTTGTATCTTTCCTCTCAACCCAGTTTCCTCTCCATATTACTTAAATATTGTCACTCCAACGGTGACGTAGTCTTTAAAATGGCTATTTAACAGTAAGAAACACCTTTACATATGAGGACTTGTTTTGCTCTGTTTGAGACAGGGTTTCATGTAGCCCAGGCTGACCTTGAACTTACTATGTCGCTAAAGATGATTGTGGCTCTCCTGCTTCCACTCTCAGAGTGTTGGGGTTGGGAAGGCCTTACGTTCATGAATTTCATCGGCTGGCTCGTCCTCTGACCTACGGGTCGTTATTTCCCCAAGGGTTCATGGTATTTCTGTATAAACTTCTCTCACACGCTAAGGTGCCTTCCCCCCATAGGTTACCTGCACATTTTTCAGTGACCCTCCCCTTTAACTGCAGGCTCGGCTCGTTTGTCCAGCACGCTGCCATGCTGTCTGCGAGCCTCCACAGCCATCCCTGCACTTCTTCTTAGAATTCAGATGGGTGATCTCTCAGCCCACTGGAGAGTTTGCCTTAACAGCTTGTACAAGCATTTGCTGTTTTATCTTATATATATATATATATGCCTAGATATATCAAGTTATGCGACTCCTCTCTTCCTCTCTTTCTGA